TGTCTACACTTATCTTGATATCCATCTGTCACCTGTGATCAGGAGTGCTGGATATTGACCGAAATTTTGACCTCAGATGCAAGCGGCACAAATGAGATTTTTTTACTGGTGTGATGAGGCAAAGGATCCTTCGACCCAACGGAGTCCGTCGACAAATCTTTCAGAACCGTTTCTTCTCTAAATCGAGAACAACTGCAATGGTTTGTGCGCGGGTCAAAATGAGGAAAGATCCCGAAACTAACTTTTATTGCAAAGTCACGTGATTGACAACCAAACGCAAACCGAGTCAGATGACTGTTCGGATATGTTGAACACATGATACATTTACAGCGGAGTAAAAAAAGATGAATAACCAAAACTTTGGCATGAACTTTCTGAAGCTGATGCCCTGAAAACTCTAGAAGAATAGCAAACTACGAAAATGAACGACAACAAGCAATGAGATTAGAAATATTTAGTAAATGCAAAGAATTCAAAAACTGAGTAGTTTATTAAAAATAACTTATTTTTCAAGCTGGGAAGTTCCATTACATTTCAGTAAACAGTCAAATTTGTTTAAAACCGGGACATCGAGTAACATGAAAGCAATAAACGTTGAATTCTACAAACAGACCAGCTGTATGGATAGCTAGCGAAATGAACATCGAGCAACGAACAGATGATGGGATGAAAGGTTACCTCCTCTGTCGGTCGTTCGCCGCGCCGATTCAGAGTTGTTCATCTTTTAGCGCGAACGAGGAACCACAAGAGCACCCCTTTGAAGCATTAGGATTCTTTACAATTCGAAATGCGGATCGGATTAATTCGTTCTGGAAGTCTAACGTCGCGCCATGCATCAGCTCCAACGATGTACTGTCGATAACAACTCTGGCGTTTTTGTTCGAAAATACATGATCGTCGACTGCATCGAACTGCTTTACGATTTCGAACTTGTATTCGTACCCGGAACAACCACCGCTGTCCACCATAACTCGTAGGTATTCATCAGGAGCCAGTACCTCATGAAGCCGTCTGACACAATTTTCTGTAAGTACAAGTTCTGCAGAACTTGCCACCAAACGAGACTTCGCCTCAGCACCAAACTGCGTTGCACGCCTCAGGAGACGACCCTCGTGTACCGCCGAAACTGACTGCTGTAAAACTCGGAACAAACGATTCATTTGGAAGAAAGACAAATTCTGGACATTTCCCAATTACGAACTATCGCAAATGGTCATAATCTGCTTGGGCGTAAGTCAATAGCAAAATCAGTCCGTATTCCCGGAATGCATCGTAAAAAAACTTGAAGAAACGAAATCTGGATCTAAAACAACTTGCGAAGAATAGAACGGGTATTATGAATAAATTATAGTAATACAAAAGGTTGAAAGCGCACAAGAACGCGTTTTAAAACGAACGAACGGGTCAAAACAGGAACACCATTTTCAAAATTTTAATCCATTCATTCAACAAGGACACAAAATCAAAACTAACACTATAGTTGCAGGGTCTGAGGCGCAGCTTTGCGGTACAAACCAATCAGCGTAGCATCTGCCTCTTGCAGAGTCAAATCGATGTCCGAGCCGAGAAAGCGGGTTGAAAGTTCAAGGTCGTGAAGTCGTAGAACTACGTTGGTGCCACGACGATACCGCCTTAGAAAATCAAAAAGTCATTAGCTAAATAAATCAGTAAATCCTGAAAAGGTAGGCCAAGAAGGCAACGGTAAGTGGGACCAATCTCTATGCATTTAATGTAGATCTGTCTGGACGAATACTCAGGCCACAAAGCCGAATCGTAAAACTGAACGCCGCTTTCTACATGAATTTGTAAAGAAAATACGGTGTGGAATCTTTTCATCATATTTTCTACTTTTTTGAAATAGAATAATTACGGAAAATAATGAGCCATAGGTAATAAGAAGCTCAGAAAAATACTTTATGAATGATGCGACGTGAACAGAAAACATCTTTCGCGTTTTTAGACGAATGACTGGTAAATGAAAAATCGGTGAAATAACAATGCTCATACCTTTATATTGATGTCATTCCTCTAAAAGGAAGATGATTTTTGTCATGTTAAATAAAAAAAGTTAATGTTTCGAAGGCTGAAAAGCATAAACCATAGCTTAATCTGCTTCAATCATAAATTTACGTCGTAAAAGTTTTTATTATTCTCCGCACGTGCCTTTCCGGCGAGGAAAGCCGTCACGTCTCCTCGCTCGACAGTAGAACTGATGAAAATACTGTCATGAAGTGGCAAATTCCCATCTTTCTGCCTTCATTGAAAGTCACGTATAATCCATCATAGTCTGTTGGCCATCCAGTTTTTCATGCAAATATGCATAAGCTTTACACTTTTTATATCGCCGCTTCAGCTGCGGTCGACGCCAACATCAAACTAGGACTGAAGATGGCCCTGAAGAAGATTCATGCTTATCAAATACATGACCTCGTCACCGGCTGAAGTCAATGGACTCAGGCATGAAGACGTGAAAAACTACGTTAATCTGGAACAGCTAATTTATGAAACAGAGAACCGACTAAGTAAAATCTACAGAAGAATAAGAACCACATGGAGCGTTTTTACAAGAATGAAAATGTTTATATCCGGGAAACTGCCCTTGCGATTGAAATAGAAAATGTGTTTTCAGTGCTAACCAGTAGATGCGAAACGTAGAGCCTGAGCTTGAAAGCTATCCATAAACAGCAGATTACGCAATCAGCATGGAAAGGTGTACGCAGAGAATAATCAGAAAAAAAGTAAGAAGACGAATGAATGAATAAGAGCACAAATGAGAGTGTGATGTCATTATTCGAGTGAAGAAGCTGAAGTGGCTGCGTGCAGGATATGTTGCAAGAAGGATCGATGCTCGCTGGATCGGATAGTGAAAGGCCCGTAGAAAGACATTAAGGTCCGATGGCCCGATGAGCTGAAGAAATCTGTTGGATCAAGAGAGATCAAAACTGCAGAGAGCAGAATTTCATGCTAGAGACGCTTTATCTAACAGTAGATCGAAAACGCTTATGATTATGACGATACAGCGATTATGATTAGGGTGAAATTGTCGTTCCACTGCTTGAATTCAATACACTATTTCCGAAATCTTTATCGTCGAGATGCAATTTTTAACAGTAACAACTTTAACAACAAGATGTTTCAAGCTAGTATAGACATCCAAAAATCTCGTCTGACTACAACGTCGTCAACTAAAATGGAAATAATTTTATTTTTGTCCAATATAATGTAGATTAGAGCCGAGTGGCACTGCTCAAAGGATGTTACAGTCAGTTATGCAATAAAGGGCACTTCATGGCGTGCTGGGTACAACATTTACACTGGAAAAAACAGCCATCTCAAACTTATACCGCGAAAATAAAGAAAATCGCCTCGGGTTAAAAGCTGCCGAAGATCGCCTTGCTCTTCTTCTTGATTTCAATTACAGAAGAGAATGTCAAGATGAAAGTCGTTCTCGTGTATTAAGTTGAGAATCCGAAGGTACTGAGAAAAAACATTTCACTGATTTCGCAACCTATGTAGAAAATGTATTTGTTCCATAAGTTAG